ACAATCTGGCAGCCGCAAAGCAATGGAGTCATGCCAAAAGACTCAACAACAACTTGCCTACTCAAATAAAGTGATTTTCATCTCCATATTTTTCTTTTGAAATTGTAGATCAACATTTTTCTGGTACTTTATTCTTCACAATTATTCGATTGGTCTTGCACTATTATTTCCCTCCTTTTTTGTGTGTGTATTTGTTTATAGCGTTTTTTTTTTTAAACAAGGCTAGGAAATTGCATGACCAATAATAATTTGGGAAGGCAGCCAATGTCTTAAAAGAAATTTTTTTTTTAAATGAAGCTCGACATCCTGTGAAATTAGCGAGATGGGTTGGAAGAGATCTGGTAAAATAATTCATGACAAAAACGGAGGAATATCATCAGTGGAATTGATCCAGAACACCAAAGACCGAGATCTAAATAATTCATGACAAAAACGGAGGAATATCATCAGTGGAATTGATCCAGAACACCAAAGACCGAGATCTAAATAATTCATGACAAAAACAGAGGAATATCATCAGTGGAATTGATCCAGAACACCAAAGACCGAGATCTAAATAATGCATGACAAAAACGGAGGAATATCATCAGTGGAATTGATCCAGAACACCAAAGACCGAGATCTGTGGAGATGCGTGAAGGCCTAAGCGCTTGCTGATGATGATATAAGTGACGTTGGTCTTCTTTGAGTAACACATGTTGGATCCAGCGTAGAATGCCAACATTTAGAACGCTGATAGAACATTTCTAAATACTAATACATCAGGCGTGGTACCGAAGGTGAGTTTTGTTCGGCAAGGGTCATAGTATAAAATTCGCACGTAAATGCCAACTTCAACAGCCCTGTTATTTGAAGCCCTACCCTGGTTCTTTTTAAATTTTAATATCATGATTGGTCAAGTAGCAAGCAACTAATATCACTGGTGGCACATGATTAAAACAAAAAAGTGAAATATTACAGTATGTGTGCATAGTTTTATTTGAATACACGCAAGCAAAAATTTCCAACAAGCCTTTTTTTATAAATTAAAAAAAAAAAGAAGAAAACCTGGTTCTTGCCAGGGGCAGCAATTTAGCCCGGCCATAAATATGATTTAATGGCTAAAAGCGGTTTCTGGGACCTCTCCACGGGTGATCCTCATCCACATGGTGACACTCTGTGTCATCGGGTGGTTATCGCTTGTGTGATGTCCTGTTGGCGTAAAAGACGACAGATAGATGTGGCACATATCATTTTTTTAAAGGGGCGGGGGGGGGGAGAGGGGGTTAAGAAAAAAACAAATACAGTAGTTTATGTCAGCTGTACAAAACAAATTACAACGAATAAACAGAGGACCGTGCGACAATTAGCCTTCATCAGCAAACAGCGACAATACACAAAACACACATTCACCAACTATGAAATGATTACAGTCAAATATTGAGGAGTGTTCGAGACACAATTGGCTTTCGTGTGGGACAACATTTTTCAACTGGTGCCCCGGGAAGCCCAAAATGCTTCGTCTGAACTTATCAGGAGCTCCATAGCCACTCGAGGAAAATATATAGATTGAATAAAATAAACCCATTGTGTGGAGGAAAAAAAAACCAATAGACACAGTACCTCCCCAACAAGGGCTTTCTTCGTAGTCGCAGTGCCTCTGCCTCAAAGGCAAGGAACCAACAGTCTGCAAACAAGTAAGCCAGATGTTTAAAACGGAAGTGCACGCAGTACATAGGGACTGAAACAGAACTAAAGCCGAGAGGTTGAATAGTAACCAAAACTTTCCGCCGAAGTTTACAGTTTGCGAATAAGAAGAAGAAGAAGAAAAAGAAAACTACGAATCAGCAAAAAGGATGGTGATGTGAAAAAACCTAATAAAAAAAAAAAACGAAAAGATAGCGAAATCAAAAAAAGAAAAGCATAGGAAAACGTAAAGAATTAGTTAGTAAGGTAGTTTTGTTGGGTTATCCTCATTGCACTCCGGACATGTCCATAGGTGCTCAGATCCTCCCCTCAGTATGAACCCCAACGTCCGATGGCTAATAGTATCAGTTCTATGTTGATTAACAAATCTTCTGGCGTGTCTGGTGTGCGTCTCGTTTTTTTTTTTTTTTTTGCTGTGCCGATCTTAATTCCCAAGTCTGCCATTCTGGCGAGTGATGTGGATTCACTGCCACCAAAGTCCTCTATCCTTCCCATTTCTCTGAGGGCATTGATAATATCAGCATGATCCATAGGCTGACCGTCGGTAGTGATAGCGGATCCAGCCAACCTGTCAGCCCTTTCATTTCCATCGACGCCTGCGGGTCCCGGAACAAAAATAAAGGTGATTCCACGCACAGTGGACTTCTGTAATGATTCAAGCCATTGTCTTCGCATTGAACCTGCCTGAACCCTCCGGATCATACTCATTGAATCACTGAGTATACACATGCGGTGTATTTTTGTGTTTCAAAGAATGTAAAGAATGTTTCAGCTTTACATAACCAGTCTCTCTAAACAGGTACTGGGGCATAGGGTACGTGGGTAATTGAACCGTCCGGGGCGGTAGCAATCTCAAGTACAGTTAGGGGCAATAGCCAGACAGTAGCGGCGAAGACAAAGATGAAATAGAGCACTTTTCTGTACTTGTCCCGGACGAAGCCAAGCAATGGAATATAGTTAAAGATAAGGCAAAGAATGATAGCAACAGCGACTGCGTCTTACAAAATGCCTAGGTAAATAATTGTGTGTGGGGGTGGGGGGGGGCACGTCTTTGGGTACATTATGTAAAATTTTTTTTTAAGAGGGCCACCATAACACGCATGTCGTAAAAGGCTACAATGTCCCTCAAAATACGTATAGCGGTTATCTTACTTCTTCTTTTGCATTCCGAGCCCTTGGGGTTCATTGAGGCAGATATCCCCTGCCTCCTTTAATCTCTCTGGGTGGTCTTCTTTTTCCATGGACCATGCTGTAATTCTGAAAGCTCTACAAGAAGTAAGACGTTTGCGATTACCAAGTGACTAGACTGCATCTTAGAAGGGGCATGGCCAGACAAGAACACTTTGCATGAAGTCAAAGAATAATAAGAAACCAACACAGAACTGGTGTCATGAGCCTCTATACGCTGCGGGATTTACTAAAGAGGGGATCCGAGCACTTACGGAATAAATGGTTCGATGTGCAATAAGGATAATCTGTCGACTGACTAACTATTAATTCATCTTTTACAGAATTAGTTTATACATTTAATTTTTTTCGATTAAAAATATTATATTTGTTCACAATTCAGCAGATTGTTATTATTACTATGTCTAATAATGTGCTCAAGAAAATAAATAAAATGAACATATATTTTTAGCAGCACTTCTCAGGGGTAAAAAGACTTAGTGTTTTTAATTTGTTTCTTAAATAAATTGTTTTCTCAAAATTCCGAGTAGAGTTTTCAAGTTGTACACCGTTTGAACACCATTTGCCGCGGAATTCAACATGACAAACGTGAGAGACGATGGACGTGGTTGCTGTTGTGAATAGTATGTGTTTCCAACAGTAAACTGTCAGAGGAGATTTTCTCTAGCTTTCCATCGGACATTATCTTGGAGTAACTTTTTGTAATACATCCGGTTTGTGCTTCATTTAGATGGTTCGAAGTTGGAACAAATTACTAATTAATAACTAATTAATTGTTTGTAATTTTATTTAAACGTTGATGTTGATTTGAACAGTAAGTTGAGTCCGTCACCTTGCTTGGGCTTGTCAGTTGTCACACTGGTGTCGCCGTCGGTCGGTATGGTGAACTGTGTGTAGTGTGGTAGAATTTCAGACGTGTTGTAGTGTCTTTTAAAGGTTAGCTTTGAGTAGTTTAAGAGTATAGCCTAAAGTTTATTTTACAATAATTTACTGATGGAAGGCAATCTATTTTTAATTAATTGATCGAACTATCATAATAAAGTCAAAAAGTGTGTAAAAAAAAAAAAGCCAGTGAATGTGCTGTGGTGATTGACTGTGTGACCACATTGTGCCTGCCTGATTTGTTTTTGAGGGTAATAGTTTAAAGTTAAACAGTCAACACGTTGGTGTCATGTGAATTTACTGTTTAATTAGTAGCATCTTACTATCAAAGACGTTACTTAGTAACTTACTATTATTCAACTTGAATTTCAAACATCTTATATAAAAAGTAAAGGAAAAGAAAAATAAATTCTACAGTGCACACCACAAGTAATAGGTGAGTAAAGTAAAAGTTTAAGGACCCTTTTCCATGCCTTTGGCTTCATGACTAAATAAACCTATATTATATTTTATAAACCATTCAGCACTCGGTGGGTAATGTGGTCACCATCACACCGTCCACCTTTACTTCTCAGGATTTGACCTGATACCCATTTAACTGGGAGCCTTAAGTAGTAGTGTATCTTCAATATAATTTAATTTAGTTAACTGTTTAAAATTTTAGGTCAAACAGTTGGAAATGTTTAATTATTTAAATTTAGTAATTTATAACACACCAGCGGGAGTGTTGTACTTTTACTGAACTGATGTGTCTTTTTCGTTTAACATTGTATCATCCATTGTAATTGTTGTAGTGTCGTCTAAAAAAAGTAAACCATAAAAGTGAAGCAAAATTTTAGTTTATAATAAATAATAAGGATATCAGTTATTAAAGTTTTTATAAATTATTGTTGGAACTAATGACTTCTATTAGCAAACCATTTTTAGTTTTGTGAACTGTTATTTTGAGGATTTAGATAAGACTGGTATTACTAGTATTAGTAGTATAGTAACAAACAGTTCATAGTTTCTGTTTTGAACAAAAAGAAGTAGAATGAATCAGCTTTCCAATAAAATACTGCAGTGTTCTTCAGTCTAAACTTTTTTTTTAAAACATATCTTATATTTATATTTTTGTTTTCCAGAAAATGTTGATGAAATGACTGAGAATTAATAAAGTTGAACTTTGAAGTGTTTATTATGTATGTTCGGAGGTAGTTCCTAATTTTAATTTAAAGCTGCTGATTACGTGAGATCATCAAGAGATGTATGTACTCAAAAGCTGGTGTGTAGGAGCTGTGCAGAGGGTTTGTATTCTTTCATCATTTTTTAATATTTATTTTAGAATTTATGAACTTTCTGTTGCTCACGACACAAGCTAAGTGTTATTCAGGTATTTCAAGGCCCTTTGAGAATGACTGCTTTTAGGCATATTGGACATATAGAGTTAGACCTATATTTCATAGACCAATTGGCACTTGGTGGGTGATGTCAGCATCCGCCTTTACTTTCCAGGACTCACCTGGTACCCACTTTAGGCTGGGTTGACCTGGAAACCAAGGTCATGTTTGGGGAAAAAAAGTATGGCTCCACCAGGACCTGAACCCTTGACCTTCTGATATGCAGGCGATCATCTAGCCGCTACACCACGGCGACTGACTGAAGAATGCCGAGGTACAAACAGATCATCAAAGTCTGAAGAGCCTGGGGCAGCAGGGAGTGACCAGTGGCTTTGACCAACACTAGCAGGAAAGGCAAAACTGACATACAACCCTGTGTTAGAATCCATACCTTTTTATTATTGACCCGGACCCCATAACTGACCCAGCCTAGTAAAATGAGTACCCAGAAATCTGGGAAGTAGAGACAGCTGCATATATCTTTACATTTCATACCCATCACATGCCGTTTGATCTTTAAAAATATTGGTCTGGTTCGGTGGTAAGCAAAAACTCTTTAGTCAAAAGAACCCAAAATCAGCAGCAAGACGATTACATTTTTTTTTAAAGAGCCATGTTTTCTAGAGACAAAACCGATTTGTGGCTGACTGGCCGAGCCACATTGAGGTTGCTAAAGAGCCGTATTCAGCTGACGAGCAGCGAGAATTTGCAACTACAAAACTAACAAACAAAAGCAGATTATATCTGGCAGTCAAGGCAGTTACCACGACTGACCCAGCACTGGACAGGAGTGATGTCATTTATGCCATGCAATCTGCAAATCACAAAGAAGGTCTCGACAACAAGGACTCACTTTCCTTGTTTGGTTTAGTGGACATGGGGGAGTAGCCAGATATGAACATTTTGCCAAGGGCACAAGGCATCTGGTTAATCAACATGGAACAGGCAAGATCAGTTGTTTTACTCTTGTGGATCTATTGAAGAGGAGATCGGAGCATCTATGGATCTGTCCTCATTAACAATTCACAACAGTGAAAGAATCAACTTATTGAAAGTCTTTTTATAATTATTATTTGTTAATGCAGCTCTTTTTTTTTTCTGTCCAAGCTAAATGTTGCTAACTGCTTGTTTTATTGACAGGTGGCTGTTTATGGACAGCTAAAGATATATATTATATTTTATATATCACATATTATTCTATGCCCTCATGCATATTTAGCATATAGTGATAGACCAGTCGGCATTGGGTGGTTGGTGTGGAAAGAAAATTATTGGGAAAAAAAGACCATTTAAATATTTCAGCTACATTAAAAGACGGAAAAATCTGTATCAGGAATGATTGGCAGTCACAAGACAGAATGCCCTGAACAGATATGATGGACTAAAAATACTGTTAAATATCTCAGAATATCAGAATTATATTTATTTATATTCTTACTTGTATATTTATAACAATTTTGTTTCTTCAGGCAGTCAGTGTTCTTGTCAGCAGCGAAGAAACAAATGAGAAACAACCAAGGAAGATCGTCTATCTGGGAGCTGGGATGGAGGCCACACAGAAAGGACATGTATTCAACTACTAATTGCTCAATATGAATTTATTCAATAGGGGAACTAAGAGGCATGAAGATATTATAAAAGGCAACCACAGCATAGTGAGAATAATATTTGATAACTGTTAAAATTTAGTTGCGTATCCTTTACAGGACGTTGTAGAACTAACCTCAGCATTGTTTGTTTGTTTGTTGAGCTGTTGTAGTTTTTTAAGGCAGATCTGACCTTCAATAGTTTGCCATTGCCTCTGAATGGTCATCTCTTAAAACCGCCATCGAAACCAAAGCAGGACAAATATTCAGCAGGCGAGAATCGAACATGGCACCTCTGCATTACAAAGGATGTTCGCAACGCCTTAGCCATCGATGCTGACTTGATAACAATAAACACCTTAAATTTTGCAAACTATGTTTTGAATTCCTGTTAATTGGATGGAGTAAGATAATTCACATACAGCATAGCAAAATTTGGTGTGCATCTAAGGGAATGTTAACAAATACTCTGTTTTTCATGATAAATTTGAAGTCTAATGAAGATGAAGGGAACATCCATAAACCCTTTGCCCTGGAAACCCTTGGAAAAGGGGGCTCAGAACCTGGGATTACTGGAATAATGCTTTAGAAAAAAGGCGTAGTATATATAGATCAAAAACGTTTTTTTTAAAAAAGTATTTATTTTAACAAGTCTTATTTATGTATATTTATATATATATATATACACACACACACACACACACAAAGTGCTGTAAAAAAAAAACACAAGCAGAGAGGAGGATTATATGATTCCATTTCATTGGGCATTAACAAATTTTATGACATGGTGTATATGTCTCTAAATGCAGATTATGATGTCATAATGATTTAAATAACCCATCTGTTTCACAAAATATATGCTTTATTTAAATAAATATCAGCATATCTGGCCTCCTAGACACTTATTTTTCTTCTTTACGTCTCTTTTACAGCTTTGGATGTTGAGGAAGATATAAGGTTCTATTTTGTGCTCTTCTGGCTGCTTCTATCATAAAGGCATCGTGGTTCTGTAGAGTTTTTCTGATATCTTTCCATAATTCTTGGTCTGCCTCTTGCTCTACATACATCCTTCTCCTCTTTTGGTATATGCCTTTTATGGTATAGCATCAGTAGGTATTCTCTATAAGTGTGCAAACCATATGATTTGCATTTGCTGTCTTTGTATGTAATTTAAAATTGGTTCTGTGCCGATTTTATCAAATGTCAGAAACTAAAGGTTTTGGCTAATTAGACATCTGCAGCAGCTTAGAGCTTTGACAATTTGGTATACATGGACGGAGCATTGTTTCTGATAGATAAAGTGCTGCAATATCATGGCTGCAAATGTATTTTCACACAAATAAGTTAAAATAACAGCCAAGACTTTGAAAGTTATATAACTCATTCGTTTGCAAGTGATATCCAAAACTCAGATAATGGTTGCATTTTAGACCGGCACACAAGAATGACATCAGAAGAAAACTCAGTGGGCTTTTCTTTGTCCTGATAATCAAGTGCAAATGATCTTATATCCTTCAAGAAGGGGTTATTAATCCGAAGGTTGCCCTTTACGAGAATCCTGAGTTTTAGGGAAATAAGTTCGGTATTTTCATACTAAAACTTGTATGGTGCATGTATTATATTTAATTACTTCTTGGTTATTGATAATCATGGTTAGTTTCGTCATTTTGTTTTTTGTTTTTTGTTTTAGAATGGTGGAACTGTTTCACACAATGCACATACATGCAGGGTCTGTAATGTCCTGTGTGTGCAGTGTGTCTCCTTGCAAGGCAGCAGTGTTGATGAAAGAGGTTTTTACAGCCGTGGCTCAGAATTTAGTAAAGCAAAGTAAGTGGTTGCTTATCTAGACAGCAGTGAAGACTTGGCAAAACAAAGAGGTATCAGAATAAGAATTCTCCCCATGTGAGCACTTGAGTCCCATGTGGAGGGTGGGAGTGGTGTAGACTAAACCCCTCACCCCGAATGTCGTAAAGTGGACTACAGATGTTTTTTTTTTAAGGTTTAGGTTTAGACGACGGATCAACATCATGGCACAAAGGTAGAACCTCAGCTCAGTGCACCAACGGGGATCCTGAAATACTTTAGGTAGATTTTAAACTCCAAATTTTGCCCTGGCAGCGCCGTTAGGCTACTCGTTTTTGATTCCCAACCGCCAAGGGATTTTTTTACGGGCGTCCATGAAAATGTTTCTTCACTTGATAAACATGGTAAGTTGGTGAAATCAGTTCCTGCAAGGTCAGAGTACATCTGCCTGCAGGCTGGCAATGGACCACTAGCCTGCATACAAATAAGCCAGATCTGTAAAACGGACACACTCTCAAACCTCATGTTCTGGAATAAGGCCAAAGTCGAAAAGTGGATGAACAACCAGAACCTACTACCAGAGTTTACAGTTAGTAAACGTAAAGAAGAAACTAAGTTGTTATCAGTGGTAGAGGTGATGTAATGTTATCACAATCAACGTCTTTGCACATTGGGCATCCCTATGGGTGCTAAGTCCTCCAATGCGCAGCCAGTCAAAGGTACCTCTATTTACTGTTTTCATGAGGAGTTGGTTATAATATCTCCTCTCTCTACCTCTAAGACGGCGTAGTCGTGCTAGAGTAGTCAGATTCGCCATTATCTCCCAACCTAATCCATATGGCATTGATGGTATCAGCTCTGTCCATGCTTTTCCCCATTTGCTTTGGTGCATTGCTGGTCAGCTCTTTTATTACCAATTACTCCTGCATACCCAGGTATGTAGACCCAGATTATGGAGGTTAACAGCGACTTCCAAATACTTTCTAACCATTCAGAGCAGAGACTACCTGTAGCGATTTTCTGTAGCAGGTGTGGTGATGTTGTCATGGCTTGCCTCATCAAGTACATATTTTTTAGGCCCAGAGGAATGTGTCAATAGTGCCTCATTCTATTCATTGATTAACCCTTTGTACATCTTTGCGTATTTAATAAAAAAAATATTTTTATGTACATAAAACACCTATGAATAACGGCCCCAAATTATCAAGGGTAAAAACGTACCCCAACAGGGCCTCAATAAGTCATCTAGTATACCTAGAAAACTGGAAATAAAATAAAATTAACCATAACCCCAACCCTACACCTAACACTAAGGCAAAGAACATCTACAGCTGCCTCGTCATCGATCGGTGGAACAGTATTGCTAATCTGTATCGGAGCTGATGCCATATATGCTGGAAATAAATCCTAGTTATACATATCATTGAAGCCCTGTTAGGGTATGTTTTTAACCTCAATAATTTGGGACCATTATTGGGAGGAAAATATATATTTAAAAGGATTTGTTTCCTGAAATTCACATGGGTACCTGATACTACCGCCCAACTCCCCCTTTTTTCCTTTCCTTTTTTTAAGCAGTAGCAGGACAAAAGGGTCAAATGTTTTCCCTTTTTTTTTTTAGTGTGATACAGGCAAGAAGAACAGCAGAGGCCTCTACACAGACTGAGATCTTATCATCAAATCTTGAGATGACGGGGCTGGCACAGAACACTTGCTTGCCCGACCTTTTAGTGACTTCAGCTTCATCATCAAAGGTGCCTCCTCCTCCTCCTCCACCGCCGCCGCCACCTCCTCCACCACCACCCATGCCGACAAAATTACAGGCTGCTGGTGCGACATCAACTTTGAGTGTAGCAATCAGGCAAAAAAATGCTTTAAAGAAAAGTCAGGTAAGGCTCATGGCAAGAGTTTATGACTTCTCTTTTTGAAGTGGCATTTTTCATGTTGATGCCCCAAGGCATTTTTTTGCGGCATCGTTCCCCTTGTTTAGTTATATTATTCCAACGAGTGTGGCCATTTTGAACATTTGTGTCAAAAAGTAGGATTTTTTAGCGAGTGTCGTGGAACAGGTTTCTATTTTACTCACTATAGTGGGGGGTGCGGGTTTAAATTCTCCCTCCAGATGCAAGTGAGAAACTGAGACAGCTGTCTTTTGATGCAAAGAGCAGACAGTTTTCCTGGATACTCAGATACAGACTCGAATTGGCTTGTGAAAGAAAGTGAGCCCCCTGAATATCCCCAGAAATGGGAAAGGGGAATTTAGGCGCCTAGAGAACACTTGGACAGAGCAGATTTCCTGATAATTTTATTTTCTGGTCATTAAATTAAGCCTCCATCTAGAATAGGTATATTCCTAGTCAACGCTAACCAGACATCATACACACATTTAGATATACTTTAAACTTGAACTATGAATGGAAATCAGTCATAGATGTTTTTGTTAAATTGGGTCAATATCAAAAGCTTCCCCTTTGGGAATGCTAGTTGAAACGTGACGGTTTTTGTGTGTGTTTTGTTTTGCAAAAAAGGGAAGGAATTGATTGATATGGTGTGAAAATTAGTTAACTAATTGCCTCTTCTGGGGGCATGGTGCGATAGAATGTGTGCCTTAATCTGTATAGAAGGACATACATATGCATGATAAAATTTATGTCCAGTTTTGAAATCCCAAGTGTGGAGTTTCATATGTTTTTGTTTATTAGTCTGCAGGTGTATCTGTTGGCCCTGAAATTACCGTTGAGCTACTGAGGAATGTCAAGCTCAGAAAGTTGAAAGAAGTAGACAAATCTCATTCAAACTGTTCCATCGCGGTAATATTCATGTTTTATTGTACAGTAAAACTTTTGTTAACTATTATTAATTTTACCGTCACTTTCTGTTATGTCATTGCTTTTTAAAAAAAAATGATGATAATGGAGGATAAATTCTCAGCCAGAGACCTACAACTAGCCACCCAGAAGCAGAAACAGTTTATCAAAGTGCATAGACTGGTTTGAAATACTAGAGGAGGTAAATACAACACAGATCCTATTTGTGCATAAGATATGGAACATCGCCACATAGACACAAGGAAATGACAGCTTATTTTTAAGTAACATGGGTTTATAGTAAAAAGTAAAGGACCCTCTTCCAGGCCTTTAGGTGTATAGGGCTAGACCTATATTTTTATAGACCAATCAGAACATCACGCCGGCCACCTTTACTTCCTGGGACTGCACCCAGTACCCACTCAAGGCTGGGTCGTCCTGGGAGCCAGGGTCATTTATGAAAAGGCTCTGCCAGAGAGCGAACCCACGACCTTCCGATCCGCGGTGAGCGTCTAGCCACTCCGCCATGGGGACTCCTTGGGTTTATATTATTACAGTGTTTCTGTGCATTACTTCTCTTGTATTACAGTTTATACTGATCGTTTTGTAAAATTAAATACTTTATGTGTGTATTATTAACTTTTAAATGATTTTATTTTCATTTTTGCCCCATGCCCGCAATGAAACATATGCAGTAGAAGATTTCTGGTATTCGTCACAGCCCTGGTCAGGACGGTGGCGGTCAATCAAAGTTATACTGTAACATAAAGTAAATTAAAGACAAAAGCACTAAAATCTTCCCTCACAAATTGTGAACTTTTTTTTTTTTTTTGGCCGCTTCATTTTCACTGAACAGTTGGCTAGTTTAATCTCTTATGTGTATTGTATGCCAGGATGTGAACTAGGGGTTTTATTTTTTCTTCTCAAGATTTTAATGGCACTACAGAGTTCGCGCAAATATGTGAAACCATCCTTGGTTTCCTTTCAGGATGTGTTGGGGAAAAAAGGTAAAGGACTCTCCCTGTGACACATATGGTATATGATTGGACCCTTTTCCACGCTTAAGGTGTATCGGGCATAAAAGGCTAGAACTGTATCTAATAGACCAATCGGTACATCTTGCATATAATGCTAGATTAATATTTGCATTGACCAATGGGCACTTGGTGGGTGCTGTGTTCAACATTGTGGTGGCCACTTTTATTTCCCAGGAGATTTCATGGTGTCCATTTTAGGCTTAAACAACTGGAAGCTAAAGTCATTTAAAAAAAAAAAATCTTGCAGTCCAGGCAACACATTTGGCTCATAATAAAACTTACCTGTATGCTTAAACAGGGAAAGTGGCCCATAAACCTTTGTCCTCATGCAGCAGAATACTAATGGGTAGAACTAATAACAACTGGTTGATGAAATAGATTGACAAAATGTTAATTTTTTTTTTTTTTTTTACTACCTGTAATGTTGCTAGGGTGCGTCCGCTAGTGTTCAGCCTGCAATCACTTTGGAAGCTCTGCAGAAGATTACTCTCAGAAAAACAAACAGTGTGAAAAACATTGATTTGGGAGCGACCTGTATCCAGGCAGAAACTAGTGACTTTCCTGAAAGTGGGTGAGTTTTCTCTTTTTGTGTGACATTTAGATATTTATGGTTGCCTGTTCAGATAGTTCATCTTGATTTCATTCGCTAATACCTTAGGTCAGGGCTTTTCAATTTGCGGACCGAATCTGGCTCACATATGCCTGGCTAGTTGCCCACGGATTATTGCCAGTTGTATTGTGTTAATGATTTTTTTTTCATACTGGGGCCCTGGCCTCTGGTTTGATGATCTTCTCTGTCACATAAATGTCATCAGCATTTTGGCCCCTTACTGGCCTTAGCTGAATAGCCCGCCTTAGGTTATGGAGTAGATTTTAGAGTTTATTCCTAAATATGAACCCCTGGTCCACTACACATATAGCTGAATGGTTGTGGTCTGAATCAGGTTAGGTAGTTTAAATATTTAGGAAGTACGATCATGGAAGAAGGTAGAATTGACAGAGAAATAGAAACCAGATGTCAGAAAGCAAGTGCAAATTAAATACTAATTGTCACCATTATTAAAACATCCAAGCATATTTATGAGTGCAGAGAGACAGATTATAAACAACATATTCATTCCAACATTAAGCTGCAAGTGCCAAACATGAACACTATTTAAAGCCCATATTCACAAGCCCACATACAGCTGAATGGTTGTGGTCTGAAACAGGTTAGGGAGTTTAAATTTTTAGGAAGTATGATCACGGAAGCTACCTAACCATCTGAGATCGAGTGAATAATGATACTATCAGACAAATTGTGGGAATAACACCTTGTACTACTTTCGTTGAGAAACAGCAGATCAAGTGGTTTGGCTATCTCGTTAGAATGCAGCAAGATTAAATACTATCACAAGCAATACATCTCAGAAGATCAGCTACAAGAGCAAGAGGATGGCTGACAACATTAAAGAGACTTGACGCTTCACAACATGACAATAGCCAGTGTAGTCTTGGGGTAATGGATTATATGTCAACTTCATTTGGACAAGTGTGGAACAGTGTGTTCGTTCAGCATGTTAAAACAACTCTAAAGGTTGGAAATTATAAAAAAAACAGGCTGATTAGTTCACCAATCAGACATTTCCCTATTATTGGAGCTAACCACCTTTTTTTTTAAAAACCCTTTCACCCTGATGGTCTAGGAAAAAAATAAAACAGCTTCTTTGCTTTTATTTGAGATGGGGGGGGGGGGGGGTTCCCGAAAGCAATAATCATTAGAAGAGTGACCATTTTACACATTTCAGAAAAAAATGAACAAAATAAGTTTATCATCCAAACAGACAGTATACTATACAGAGTAAAGGGAGCAATCTGTAAAAATTAACGCAGCACAGAATGAACTCGGTAAATTCTATAGCCAATGGAGAAAATTTGATGTTTGATTTTATATAAATTTGGTCATTTTAAAACAATGTCCCGTTTCCCCCCCCCCCCCAATCCCTTTTGATTAAATTTTGTCATCCTCAGTCACACTCAACGTTTGCGCATATGCATTAAATTATGTCTCTTTAGCGAGGTGGGAAAGCGGCTCCTACAGGGAAATGGTACATGGGGGGGGGGGGGGGCACAGAACAGTGCAAGGACTCCACAGCACCGTTAAAGAAATGTGTGCATACCAGAATCATGTATGCTAGGAAGGGTGTTTGACCTTCTCTTCCAGTGATGCTACAAAACTGACACTTCTGATTGCCATGTGTCCCAAGGGTTTTGCGGGCAAAATGTTAAATGGCAATATGAGGTCATCTTTGACTGTGATTAGTGTGGAGAATGACCACCCTGCCTGTGCAAGGGATTTGAGAATTTCAGTGACTGATACTTAAGTATAACAGTTTTATGTGAGATTATGCTAACTTTTAATGTTCATTTATTTCAGACCCGAAGACACAGGAATTGTTCAGCAACCTCAGGAAATTGAGACAAGGTGATATAAACAGATCTAGTCCAGACTAACTTGTTTCCAAAGACTGAATGTATTATTTTATTGGTCTTGTTGGCACCTTTCCGTCATTCCAGATGGAAGTGTTATTTTTGCTGTAAGGAGAACCGTAGCCGATGGAGATGGTGCTTGTGACTGGCAAGACCTGCCTGTGTTAGGAGTTATTTAAAACACTTACAATTCTTGGAGTGAAAATACAAGAAATTAGGCTTTTCTAGCAAAATTTGGGAAGATGGAAATTCTTTTTCTTTTATTCAGTGCCATGTGGTGAAGCTAATTCTTTCTGCTTTCAGACTTCTGTCATTTATATTTTATACATATTTATGTATCTAGCTTGAATCGACAACTACAGAATACAGACAGATTTCATTTAAAACCATTGAAATAGCACCATTGGTTCAAAGTACAGTGGAACATTCAGATACAAGTTTACCTGGATACAAGTTTTTCAGGATATGAGATCAGGCGTGCCAAGTTATTTTGTTTTCCCCAAGAATACGAGGCAAAATCCTGGAAGCGAGCTGGAGAGACGTAAACTTCTAATGTTATCCGACACCATATCAAAAACTTTTAAATGGATTAAATTAACATCGCCTTACAATGGCTTGAGCCAGATGACAGACCATTTTATGATGAATGGATTATAGCATAAGAGTCTAAAGTAACCCAGTTTTTTTGTTGCTCGCAAAATGGGGGAAAAAAACAGTGCCACACATTATCTCTGTTAATGAAATGAGAAATCTTATTTGTGTTTTTGATTTTTTTTTTGGAGGGCTCGCAGAAATTAAAATAATTGACATTGATTTTAAATTGAAAAATAGTTTTAGTATATGAGTTATATTCACCATACGTGCTCAGTCATGGAACGGAGTAAATTCACATCTAAAAGGTCTGTTTATTTTGTAGGTGAATTGATTTACTTCTTTGTTATCACCAGTTGTCTGTTAAAGCTCTACATAGTCAGACAAATTGTAGTTTACTTTTCTGCCAGGCCAGCATGTGAAAATTCAGGACACATGTATCTGTTATTTAAAACATTTTTTTGTTAAGCTCAATAGTACAGTTTGTATTTAACCATTGGTTTTTTTTTTTTAAATTTTTTTTTTGGGGGGGGGGGGGGGGAGGTGTCTGTCATGAGTTAATAAATATATCTTTATGCAAGATGTTGATCACTCAACCAGTCGCCAAGACATTTTATGTTGACGTCATTATGGTACCATCACCACATAGCTGATGTTTTGGTGACAAATTCATATTATTAAAGATACCCTACAAGGAAGAATGAAACACGTGCAAACTAATATTGATACTCTGGTTTGCATGTGTGTCTGCTGGTTTGTACGTGTGCCTATCTTGTAGCGTACTTTTAATAATGTTTTTTATCATTTGTCAGGAACTCAAGTAGATCACCTATGATGTTGAAGAGGAAAAAACCTGCAAAAGAGCAACAGTCTGTACCGTGTAAACAGAAACGGCAGGTATTAAATATGTAGTACTCATTGTATTCACAAACATTTGTGTGAAGTCAGATATTCTGTACTCCCCGTGCGGGTTCCGGGGCCCTAATGTGGGGAAAACAAGAATAGACAAACTGCCTCACCTGCATGGTGTGTAAGAGTCGACTAACTAAGGGCTTCCTTCAAAGTCAGAGGTGCATCTGCCTGAGAGGCAAGAAACCAAGTCTGCATACAGGTATGTCAGATGTGCATGCAACACTCGGGTTCTTGAGCAAGACTAAAGTCCGGTAAATGAATATCCAGAGTTTACAGCCGGTAAACGAGGAGAAGAAGATATTCTGAACGTTTGTGCAAAATATTTAATGACTAAATTTTCCTGTGAAATTTGGGGGGTGGAAGAGAAGAGGGTTGTGGGAGGTAGATTTATTGTCTGTTTACAAACATGATGTAGAGTTAACTAATTAAAGATTCGCTGAAAGTCACATATATTGCAGCCTAGCTGTAAATCACTACACAGTGTGTTAACCGCCCCTTAAAGGGTGAACACAGGAGAAGACAACATGCTTAGTTGATTAGCATGTTTCCTCAGCTGGTAAGATAAACAAACACTCACAACAGCTATAAAATCCTGAACACATCTTTTTTTTTTTTAAAGTATTTAAAAAAAATGTTTAGACTTCTTTAAAAACAATTTTGTAAGTCAAGATGATATTAAACCCACCCTTAGCAGAGAAGCAGACATTGGTAATAAAAGAATACCATAAAAGTGACGACCAGAATTAGCAACGGGAGGGGTAATTCTTGAGGGTCTTAACTCACTTTGAGATATAAGGTTTGAGAAGAATAAATTCAGCAGCAGTGGACAAGGTTTATCAGATGTGTGCTGGATTCAACTGTGTTTGCAAACACATTTTGCTTAAGGAGTTAAGCATATAGAGAAGAAAATGACAGCTTTCACTAACCCAGAATAAGTTTTTCATCCTCCTTTTAACAAAAAATTCGACATATTGATGTTTTTATGATGCAGATAAACAACATTATTAAAGTTATTATCATTAATGTTATTTAAAATCACAGAAAAATGTTTCTTTGAATTTCTACAACATGTCTATTTTGGGTTCTTTCGTAATATCCTACCCCAGATGACGTCACAGGACAGTCCAATATTTTAGAGGGTGGTAAGACTGAGTTTCCCGGGCTCTCTGATGCTTTCAACGAACCAAGAACATCCAGAACTGGCCCTAATACCAACCCACCTACATCCCACGAGAGAGTGCACCCTAGGTCCCATGACTGCATAAGCCTATACCACCCCCTGAAATATTTGACTGTCCCGTGACCTGTGGATTTCCCCTGTTTGGGGTAAGATATTATGAAAGCACCCTATTTTGTTTGCCCTGACTTCTATTTATGTTGTGTTTTGACTTTTTTAAAAGTATTTAATTTTGTATATGTCCGTGCCAATCCTGCTCTGAAGCCTCATATGACTAACTTATAAACTGTTCTATTTTTGAAAAACATCTAGTACACTTTCTGCCAACTCACATTGGACACAGGGTTACTCTGTAGCCATATGGTAACCCAGTTCAGCTGTTTTGTAGGGTTAAACCGGCTTACTGGGATTTGTTCCTGTAAGATTTGCACTTTAAAAATGGTTCGTTCCCTGTATTTTTCCGGGACCCATTTGTGGAGGAAAAGAGAAAAGACCCCCTGTCCCTCTAAAACACATGTCATAAAAGTTGAAGGGGGTGGGGGCATGGCTTCCTTCGTAGTCAGAGTGCATCTGCAAGAAAGGTGAGGATCCAACAGTCTGCGTACCAATACGCCAGATTTGTCAAATGGATGTTCTGGAAAAACACAAGTCCAAAGGGGGACAGACAACCAGAACATGCCTGAGTTTACAGTCGGAATAAGAAGAAGTAGAGTGCTGGGTGTCATTTTTTTTCGATCTGCAGTCATGGAAGGAAACATTTGTTGAAAAATTATCTGTAAAACAATTTGCTTGGCAAAAAAGTGTACCGCTAACTGAAGGAACCAATGTCTTTTGTTTCTTTCCCATCAAAGTCTGTGACTAACATTAGGTTGCTGCTATGATGAGGTGTTGTGTGGATATGGAATGGTGTCCTGTGATCTACATCATTGTGTTATTGGAAGCCCATGCTGTACATCAAAGTGGAAATCTCATTCACTGGCTCTGTTTCTGATTGTTGGTATGCTGGAGACCATACTGCTAGAATACTTTAACGTATATATTCAGAACACTATACACGAACATACATAGTATATATTTATCACATATTTTAGCAAATATGCTAGATGCTGCTTGGAATTTGTGTTGTGGTTATTTCTTCTATATGTTTTTAACAGTTTTAAGTTGTTTTTTTTTAAAGATAATTGAGCAAGTTTTAATGATTCACTTATTACATTTTCGTTTTAATTAAAAAGAACAATTTCACTTTTTTGTTAAATTTTTTGTTGTGGTTTTTCATTGCTTTTGGTTTCCATGCATGTTATAATGAGGGTCTCCCTGGCTGTAATGTGCTCATCTAGGGGCATGTATTGTTTACATTGCTTTCAGACGAACAGTGAGTTGAAACGACACAGTATGAACGAATATTGAGTTCTTTGCTTTTATTCGTTGAATCGCCAGTTATCGCAAACATACATTCATGCTTCCTCGTGCTCGACTTGCTTGGCTGAATCTAGCGACCTGGACGGACTTCCCACACACTACAGGAATTTATCCGCGCCTCTCGAACCATCCATCTATACTTCATGGACTCTGATATCTGACATTACGACGTATGGAAAAACATTCAGTCCTCCTATTGAAATATAACGTTCACTTCACAAATCATTTATTCTTCTCAGGCGTTCATTCACGCGTCCTCTCTCAGTCAGGGCAGAACTTCAACTGTCTTACTTCAGTCTCTCGGTTCACGTCTTCCGTTCACGTCTCATGCTTTTCTTGTGTCTCTCACTTCGTTTACCATGAGACACACGAGACTCACTTCTCCCGTTTTTCTCTTCTCTCACGGGTCCTCCGACCTTTTTCTCCCCATCGGGAACTCTCTGGGGTTTCCCCGGGAATTCACAACATTACACTGGCTATGTGAAGGATCTCTTTCCTGCCAGTGGCATATGATGCTATACTCGTTTTTAGAGACCAGTCGACACTCGATGGATGATGTGGTCAGCATCGCGCCAGTTGCTTTTACTTTTCAAGACTTTACCTGGTACCCAATTTAGACTGGGTCGACCTTAAAGCCAATGTCTTTTGGAGGGGGGGGGGGGGGGGGGTAATCGATGCAGCTTCAAGCTCAGGGCTGGCAGGTGAGCATCTAGCATCCTTGGCCACTGTAACTGCCCTATGTCTAGGAGGTTATGCCTTATGCTATGAAGGTTAAGGGTCGATTTCAGGCTTGGGTTGTGTGTGAGTTATGAGTTAGATGATCTTTTTCTGTGTGGGTTCTGGGGCCTCATTGTGGAGGGGGGGGGGACAAGAATAGGCCTACTGTCTCCCCAACAAACTTGTTGTAGGAGTCGACTGATTGGGAACTTCCTTCGATGTTGGAGTACATGTGCCCTAGCGGCAGGGAACAATCAACTGTAATTAAAATGGATGTACATGCAAAACTCAGATCCAGGCACAAAAACTAAAGTCCAAATGGACGAACAACCAAGACTTTCCCCAAAAGCTTACAGCCGGTATACAAAGAAAAAGGAGGGTTATCTTCACAGCACTTCAGACACACCCATAGGTGGTCAGATTCTCCCTTCAAAAAATTCATCAATGTCGCGCATTTAATACTGCTAATTCTATGCTAGTTGACAGAACTTCTTGTGCGTCTCTCATTCTTGGCTCTGTCGATTTTTAATTCCAATTCTCATATTCTTAGCAGTGCTGTGGTGCAGTTGCTTCAAAAATCCTCCAAACGCCTTATCTCTCTATGGGCATTATCAATATTGGCATGATCCATAAGCTGGCCATCTGCAACTGATGCCTGCCAATCTATCAGCTCTTTCATTGACGGCAAACCTGCATTTTCTGGGGCAAGCATGAAGGTAGCTGCACACATAGGAGAGTCAATCCACATCTGCGTATGGAGCTTGGCTCAACCGGATCATGCTTCTAGAATCACTCAGCACACAGATGTATATTTGTGCAGGAATATTCCTGTGATTTTGGCAACATGAAAGAATGTGTAACCGTCAGCACCTCCATCCTCATGCTGCTGATAGTCATAGAGAAGGCACCTCTGTGTGTGTGGCACTCTTGGAGGCAATGAGTGCTCTGAATAAAAGTAAAAAGTCTTTGGGCATGTGGTGAGAGAGAATGGGTAAACCGTGCTAGCCCTAGCTATATTATAAACCAGTCTGCATTTGACGGACCATATGGTATGAGTCATTAGGAAGCTAACCTAAGAGGTGGATGCAGTCACTGCTGCCTTCCGCTATACTTAGAATCAGCTGTACACACATGTCGAAACTGTAACTGACTCACAGCGTATGTGGAGAGAGACATGCTATGAGCAAAGTGGCAAGCATGGGCAGTTAGCATCCTTTGGATATTTTCTCCATGTGATGCTGATGTTTTGGGAAATGAGCAGGCAGATAGACTGGCCAGTTCTGTACCACAAGCTGGATGTGAGGGCCCTTTGAGAGTGAGTGAACAGTGCGGAGGCACAAATAGATCATTATGGTCTGAAGAGAATGGCGCTGTGGGGGAGTTACCAGGGGATTTGGGGGACGCTTAAACAAATAGGGTGACAGCACACAGCCCTGCCGGACAGTCTGATGTCTCGCCACCTATTCTAACAGCTGCTTGTTGGTCTAGATAGAGCATTGTTATGATGTGTACTACATATGATGAAAAGCCATATACCTCAATTTCCCAAAGTTTTGAACATTTTACAGTCAAATACCTTTGAACAATCCACAAAACATGAGAATAGGTTTAAATTAAATTCTATTGACTTCTCTATTATTAAACGCATGTTGAGGATGTGATATCTTGTTCTTCTTCCCTGTTTTAATCCAGCATAAAACACGCTGATCTTTTCTTACGAGTCTTCCCATTATGATTTTAGTAGAATTTTATTTGCATGACTGATCAGGGCAACAGTTCTATAATTAGTGTGTAATTTTAGTTTGCCCTTTTTTTTGGTATTGGAATGAAGATAGTTCTCTTCCAATCATTTTGCCATATACCATATTTCCATATCTTTTTACATAGTGCGAGATAGATTTGTATGCTTTCTTACCTCACGTTTTAATTGGTTCAGCTGGAATCTCATCACATCCTGGTGACCATTTTTCAGGTTCTTTATTGCCCATGCCAGTTTCATCTAATGAGGGTTCAGGTTCTGTCTCTGCTGTCATTAGTTCATGTAAATTATTCATATCCTCACAGTTAAAAGCATAAATGCACAATAAATGCATAAAGCAGCTGTCACAAGTGCTAACACAAACAATCTGACACCAGAAATGTAGTTAATTGTCAATAAAAGCAGCAGTTACAACAGATTAGTAGTTGTGCATGCAGTTAATTACATAAAGCAACAAGCCACTCAGCATATTCTGAATCTGCAGTTAGTTCATAATACAAACCATTCTGAGCTTAGCTGAAATGCATTCCAAATGAAATCTGCAGCTCACAGTATCGCACCGTGCACTCAGCTCAGTAACTGGGCACCATTACATACACATACAAATTATTTTAAAAAAAAAACATGTCTTGACAATGAAAGCTGGCTGAAATATATCCAATACTAACTATGAGAATATCAACGTGGTGCTGACCCAGTCTCTATTCTCTATCACGGAGCAACTGTTATACTAGTGTCTGAAAAATTGTGTTAATTGAACCCGGATAAACACTGAACATTGCAATGTGATTCGATTCCATAGAGCCACCCAGTATGCATGACAATATATCACATAGTATCGTACTTGAGTGGGACCTATTCAGTGCTAGATTTAGGGCTGAGCTACAGACGAGGGTGTCACACTTTTTTCACAAATAGAAGTTTTTTATAATTTATATGCCATTTTTCTGTAATGTATTTGCAATTCTCCCACACCCTCTTAGAGATTGTGGTCATATAGGACTAGACCTACACTGTATTTTATAGACTAATCGGCACTCGGTGGACGATGTTGCCACACCCTGCCAGTCGTCTTTACTTCCCATAAATAAATCCGGTACCTATTCAAGCCTGGAGCCGGGGTCATTTAAAAAAATCAGGCTCCTTGAGTACCAGAACACATGATCTTCCGATCAGCAGCGAATTAGTCACTAAACACGGATGTACACGCACAACTCAGGACTTAAAAACCCTGACACTAAGCCAAAATCCAAATGAATGAGCAATCATGACATTCCGTCTCAACTTACTGTCGATAAACACAGAAGAGGAAAATGAGATTTTAAAAAATATCCTTGGTACATTATTTAGCGGAAGCTGACATATTTTGATCATATTAAGCGTCACAACAGGTTGGGGCAAAATTATAGCAGGAGGTATGGTACCAGGAAGGAGAGTCAGGGGCCGACAAACACGAAGATGGGCACAGGATATAAGTTACTCCTTGAGTGTGAAAGTGCATGAGGCGGGAGAGCTGGTGGGAGACCGAGTTTCTTTCAGGCAGACCGTGATAAGAGCGACGTTCTGCAAAGGACCTGCTACATGATGATGATGACATTATTGAGAGACGATAATGTTCGCTTCATCAACACTCAAAACATTTGCAATGATGAACAGCTGTCAACGAGAGTAAAGAGATGGTAAATGCAGTGTCACGGACGTGTAACAAGATCTACCGGTCTCTCCAAAAACGATACTACAGGGATCGGTAGATAGAAGAAAGAACGAACAAACTTACTAACATTATTTCCAGCTGGGTCCAAATTGGGCATGAAGACCCGTCTTACATTCGGCCCTTTCTAACATTCATCTTTCATACGGCAACTGGGAGAAAAAGATAACAGGCAGACCAAGAAAACTCCTGGATACAAAATCGAACTTAGTGGGCAGGCATCAAACATGCAACCATCAAGTCAACCGCATCAGAGTTACATAGGTTTAGGGAAG